TTGTTGACAAAATGAATCAAACCCATATTTATTTCTACGTTATCAAATTCGCGATTTTAATTGGTCAATCAACAAATTGCAAGGTTAAAATTTTGTATTCCCTCCTGTTAATTTTTGTGTTCTCTCCTGTTGTATTTAGTATTTCCATCTATGGTAAAAACCCTGACTGATATATGTCAGCCAGAGCGCCCCTTATTAAACTTTGTATATATATATAATTATTTTTTAAAAAGTCTCTTTAGAAAAATAAATAAAATAAATATGAAGTTGAAATATAAAATTATTATTATTTTATTATTTTATCATCAATTCGTTATTATAAATATCAATGGATTTGGATATGTTGGACACGAAATTACTGCCTCAATTGCTCAAAAATTATTGAGTCCAAAAGCTAAAAGTGGTGTAAAGGATTTATTACCAAAAATTTATAATGGAAATATGAGTTTGTAAGTTTTTTGAAATTTGAAAATTCATCATTTTAATAGTGACCATTACTATATGATTATAATTATTGTTGTTTTGTTATTATAAAGTATAGCAGCATGGGCAGATAAAATTAAATATTTAGCAAGATATAGATTCACGTCTAGGATGCATTATGTTGGTCTAAATGATAATCCACCAGAATATTGTTCAACTAATTTTACAATACCACCTAATCAATACAATATTATAAATGCAATACATAATTATACCAATAGGTTAGATCAAAATAATAATAATAGTAATAATAATAGGTTAGAGGCTTTAAAATTTTTGGTGCATTTTATTGGTGATTTACATCAACCTTTACATCGTGAGTAATTATAATGATAATCATGGTTTATAATTATTAGGTATTGCAATTTTTTATAATTATATAATTATTTTTTTTAAAGTTTGTTCAAAATTAAAAGGTGGAAATGGTTTATCAAGTTAGTAACATTATTTATAATGTAAAGCATCATTAGGCGTGGCAAAAATATTAAAAATTAATATTTTTATTTGTTGGTATATAGTAAAATTTGAAGGACATCGTACAAGCCTGCATGCTGTCTGGGATACAAGAATAATTTATGTAAGCAAAAAAAAATTTTAATGCTAATACCACAAACGCATACTATAATATATTAATTACATATGACATCTATTGCAAAATATCTATCACATATAGAAACGTATAAGAGAACTTCATAGCGATTCTCTTTCTTTATTTATTAAAACATGGGAAGAGCCTGATGATCCATTTGATGAAGAGTATCATAATACTAATTTAAAATTATTTACTACAGAATTTTATGGTCCATATGTAGATCATATAATAAAGTTAATGAAAACTGATTGGAAGAACGAAGTCAAGAACTGGGTTATTTGTAGAAATGGTACTAAGTTAAATTATTCAGATGCGAATTCAGTTGTAAATTTTGATTTGGATGAGAATAAACTTAATTTAGCAACAGATAACAACAACAATAACAACAATAATATGAACTCTAATCAAATTCATTTTAATAATAATAACATGAATCAAGAATCAGAATTAAATTATTTAATTCAATCAAGCAATGGTGATGTTGCTTGTCCAGAATATTGGGCAATATCATTGGAATCTTTAAATTGTAAATTTATATGGAAAGATTTTGATCAAGAAATGGATTTAAGTGATGGTGAATATTATAAAACAATTGATGAATTAAATATTATTGAAAAATTATTAGCAATTGCTGGGGTAAGAATGGCTGCAATATTGAACACTTTGTTCATGTGACTTATTATTATATCAGATGTAGATAAATAAATGTACGTTGTTATTTCTCTTTTTAGTTAATTTGCAGATGTACACTTTATTATTTCTTTTCTACTTAAATAAATCATTACATATAATTTTAAATAAAGTTTCTATACTATTAATATAAGATCTTCCTCAGTGTAACCTGTATATTTTAATGTTTGCTCAACAACATTCATCATACCAGGTTGTCCGCAAACAAATATTTTACTGTTAGGATTAAGTTTAGGTTTTTTCTTATTATTATCAACAGTAGTAACATTATTACCACTATATGCTTCACTAATTTCACCATCACTCTTTTTGCTATTAATTACAGATGGTTGAGATTGTTGTTGTAGTGGTGATGATGATAATGGTGTTCTATGATGTTGGCCATAATTATGGCTTAAAGCACTTTCAGGATTAATTGATGTTCTATAATAAATATTCTGATTATTATTCATTATAATTGGTTGTAGTAGTAGTTTATGAGGTTTTGTATGATGTGGTATTATTGGTGGTGGATTATCATTATTATTATCATATGATAAAGGATCATAAAAGTGTGGTGGACTTTTACTAATTAGTGGATTTGTTGTATTTGTATTAATATCATTATCATCAGCAGTAATTTGGCTTTTATTATCATCAACAACAAACTCACTTAACCAATCTGAAACCATTTCTTGATTAATTTCACCAACTTTCCCTGTCCAAGATTGAGTTGGTTTATTTAGTGCATATGTTATAGTTAGCATACCCCTACTACTTAATTGATACTCTTCTAATTCTACACCATTAATTATATCTTCTATTCTATGATTACCATATAACAAATGCATTGATACTTGTTTATTATGTATCATTGATAAACGATTGCGTCTCATACACAATTCCAGATGATATATTATCAGCTATTTCATTATAAAAATAATAATGTGAGAAAAATATGAATATAAATATATTATTATCTTACAATAAAAATCTTACTTGTAACATTGGTGTAATTCCGGTACCACCACAAATCATGTATAATTCTCTCCAATGACCATCCTGAGTATTAGGATTAAGTAAGGAGCTTGTTGATGAAGATATGAATAATGGGATATTTTTTGCAGATAGACTATATATGCCTGATTTTTTATATTGTGATTTTGCATCAACAGTCTGAGATAATAATGGCATTTGCAAAACTTCTCTATCTCCAACATCAAATGGTCCTCTCACTTGAATCTCATATCCTTTTAATTGTTTATTCTAAGTTATTGATTAATTAAATCAATAAATGACTAATGGATTTTAAAAATAATAAATATAGCATTATATAATTATTAATTATTTTAAACTTTACCAAATGTCGTGACATTAATCCATCTGGATACACTTTAACAAAGATACTAAAACTCTGAGCAATATTGCCTTCTATTGGTGTATAACTTCTAATTACTACTTGTCCTTTAATTCTTGATTGCACTTCAATATAATGTCCAGGCAAGAATTTCAATTTATGATTATAAGCTTCAATTTCATTTTCATGTACTATTGTGAATGTGAATTTCATCACTGGGTACTTTTTACTGCCATTGATAGGTGCTTTGCTTGTTAATTTGTATCTACGGAACTTTACTCTAAATGCTGTATCTTGTTTAGCAATTTCTGAATCATTTAATTCTTCAGCCGCATTTGTTGGTCCAAATATTGGTGCAGGTGATATTGGTGATATTGGTGGTCCAATAACAACATCTGGGGTTTCTTTTAATTTTGCTACAACCATTGTTGCTATTTTCTTAATTGCAAATAAACTATGTGGGTGTATAGCCAAAGGTGCCTTTAAAAAATATTTAACATTCATATCATCAACAACTTGTGCAACTGAATTTTTTTCAGTTGTGTATTTTTTGGTTCTCTCACGTAAAATATCTGTATACTGCCCTAAAACTGATGTTGATATACCAGTTGGAACAGACTTTATTTCTGGTATATTAATTCGTTCAATAATCCCTTTACCTTTATAACCAAAAAAATCATTTGTTATGTCTGTTCCAATGACATGTTCAAGAATTTTTGCTCCACCAGGGTGTACCTTAATCCATTTTCTCATACTAACAATAAATCCATCACAAACTACTAAATATGCTCCACATTGGACACGTTCATTAACTTCTCTCCATGTAAATTCTGGTAATTTATCAAAACATTCTTTAGTAATATGCAGTGAAATAATGGATTTTTTGTTATTTCCTTCTTCATTTTCTTCTTTAAAATTCAACAAGGTATATTTCCATTTCCAAGTCCCTTTCCAATTCCACCAATATTCACCAAATATAAATGTTGCTATTATTACAGTAATCCATATAAGATATGCAACCTTATAATGTAATGATTCAAATCCATAAGATAAACAATATGTACTGATTCCCAAATATACATTTACCCAAGCACATATTAATAAGGAAATTCCAAAAACTCTGTGAATTCTTTTAAGAAATCTAGGATATCCCTGATTAACTGACACTATTGCCACTTGACCCCAAATTGATGTTAGACCTAATCCAAGTTCAATAAATAACAAAAAATATATTGTCAATCCTAGCCATGAATGACTTGTTTTCATACTAACTGTTGCCATAGCTGCTGCACCAAAACTACCAATACTGATGCCACCAAGTAATTGTGCAAATCGATGTATTTTGATGTAACTATTGGTATGTTTGTAATATCTTACAATAAAAATAGAAGCAGGAAATAGAACACTATAATGGAATGGAAATGATAATTAATAATTTTTTCAAAATGCAAAGATATTTAATGTATATTTAATATCAATATCCTACCACCAAGCTAAGAACATTCCAATTCCATGAGCTAATTTTGCTAATCTTTGACCATTAGATACAGATGATGAAAATTGATTATTGT